TCAACTGCAAAAAAGGTCTCAGTTCTGGAACAACCCCAGGAAAAAGATTTTGAGGAAAGCCAGAAGAACATCTGTGTTTTCTGCTGTGACTCCTGCCCCTGTAATACATTATTAAAGAACATGGGGAAGAGATGCACAAAGAACTCCCCAGAATGCTCCTCTCAGAGCCCTCTCCAAGACATGTCTTTGCAAGAAAAATAAAACACAAAACCAGAAATCCCAGGACTCCTGTGCCTGTAGATCCTTAAGACTCTGGTTCTTTTAAGCAAACAAGGAAAGGCCAATGGAAGCGTTTAGGTGAGGATGGTCTTATTTTAGGTTTACATGCAGAAACCACATAGTCATAAACTTAGTTTTTGCAATCCCACCTTAACTGTTCCCAACAAAACAGCTTTTGTTCAGCTGCATAATTTCCAAAAATGATTTATTCAGCCAGCTATCAATGATCAAGTTTTATCTGGCTGGAAGAAACACACCCACGAACAAACAGCCAAATGAACCTGATTTTACAGATTTCTGGCAAATGTGATCTTTCACAAAGAAATAGAACCAGGCTTAAAAATGCAGTTCTTGCAACTGCTTTTAACATAAAGGTCAGAAGGGAGCACACACAGTCTGCACAGAGATTAAGAGCCAAGAATATTCCCAGAGTTCACAGTCACCAGGAAAACCACTGGTGGGACACAGGAACACAGGAAACTGAATTTTTGTTTTCCAAATCTGGTGGACAGACTCCACTTAGCTGTCTAACACTGATTTGCTTCCAAGTCGAGAGATATTCCAAAAATAAAGACTCACCATGTTTTCCTTCGGGGGATCACAATTTCTTCTTGAGTTACTATGAGAAAAAACATTAAAATGCTCATTAGAAACAAAGAGATGCCCAAGGGAAATGTTAACCTCACTGCTGTGGGTGTCAATCTCTTCTCCCAAGTAACAGCACAAGAGGAAATGGCCTCAAGTTGGAACTAGCAGTGGAGACATCTCACCTTCTGAACTGTCCACAGCCTTCCCAAGGGCTGTGCTGCTCGAGGAGCACCTACAAAACAATCAGAGTTTTGAATTTATGGCAGTCACAACAGTATGGCAAGAGCAGATCAACAAAATTCTGTACTACAGACCGGAACTAATTAAAACCTTAGAGGGGAAGAGTAACTGGAAATGTTGCACTGTTACAAACTCCAAATTATTATCATAAAACTCTTATTTGATGCTTCTCTTACAGCCCTAATTTCAAGAGACAATGTTATAAACAAAAAATCCTAATACAAAAAAAAATCTGTAAATATTTAATTTATAAATTTAATTTACTTTATGTTTTAGAGGTAGGACCTGGAAGTCCCGTAACTTGATAAGGTGTGATTTTGCCACCCCAGACGTGAGTTATATTTTGCCCACAGAGTACCCAGGGGAGCAGGGCCAAGGCACACCCTGAACAAAAACTCCTGAATTTACAGAATCACAGGACGTTAAGGGTTGGAATGATCTTAAAGCTCATCCAGTCCCAAACCCCCTGCCGTAGGCAGGGACACCTTCCACAGATCTCCCTGGCCTTGGACACTTACAGGGATGGGGCATCCACAACTTCTCAGTGCAACCTGTTCCAGTGCCTCATCACCCTCACAGAAAAGAATTTCTTCCCAATATCTAATCTAAATTTCCCCTCTTCCAATTTGTACCCTTTACTACTTGGCCCATCAGTACAGTCCCCGACAAAGAGTGCTCTCTCCAGCTTCTCCGGACACTGGAAAGTTGCTACGAGGCCTCCACTCAGCGTTCCCTTCTCCAGGCTGAACAGTCCCAACTTCCTCAGCCTGTCTCCGTAGGGGAGGTGTTCATCTGCTTTTTCGTGAGACCCAGCTCTAGGAAGCGCTTAACAGCTAAAATCCTGTGCCGGGTCGGCTCCGAGACGTCCAAAAGTAGAGAGGAGGCCGAGGGAAGGCGCCTGAGGGGGAGAAAGATCCCCAAGGAAGGCGCTCTCCTCACGCCGCGCCGGCCATGCCGGCCACAAACGCCTCTGCGCATGCGCAGCCTCTCCCGCCTCACTCCCCACACCCCCCTCACCCCCCGGCCGTCGACTCCTCCCCGGTGCCGTCGCCATCGCTCGGCCGTTCCCTCCCGGCGGACCCTCACCGGTAGCTCTCCCGCCCGCCCGGGAGGCGGCCCCGCCGGCTCAGCCACAGCGCTCGCTGCCAGCAGCCGACCCCGACCCTACGCCCCGCCATGCTGCTTCCCGCGCGCTGCCCTCTGGGAGGGGGGCGGAACCACTCCCGCTCCGGGGGGGTGTGGGCGGTACCGCCCCGGCAAGGCAGTGGTGCCGCCCGGCCCCGCCCCCCCTGCGGCCCGGAGCGCGTGGTGCAGCCCGCGGCGGGGCACCCGCGGCGGGAGAGCGGGACCGGGAGTCGGCCGGGGAAAGCTGCTCGTTCGCCATGAGGCCGCCCAAGGTGGTGCCGTGGCGGCGGCTGGTGGGGGTGTCCTTCGGGATGTACACGGCCGAGGAGATCAGGTGAGGCACCATGTGCACGCGTCCCCCGCCCTACGGATGCGCTGAGGACTACAAGTCCCAGCGTGCCCCGCGGCGGGGCGCCGGTGAGTTGCTGCGGACTTTGGCGCGGGGCGTGCTGGGATATGTGGTCCGGCTGAGCCGCGGCCCGCACCGACCACCGTGCGGTGGAGGCTGCTGAGTTTTGTACGAACTCTCCCGCACCTCGAGGGGACAAACAGAGACAAAATTACGTGACTTCTTAATAGAGTGGCTACAGATGTAAAAGAAGTATTTGTTGCGGGGTGAATGATTGTGCTCAGACGATGGAATCAGTGATGCAGAAACTCCCCGTGTGCAAAGTGCCCTAAAAAAGATGTTTTCACCAATTAAAAAAAAAATCACACAGATACTAAATGCCCATGCTAGCTGTTCCATTAAAGTGCACGTGGTGTGGCTGTTTGCCGCTGATGATTTTTTTTTCCTCTTTGCTTTCCACTTCAGGAAACTGAGCGTGAAGCCCATAACGAACCCTCAGTACCTGGATAACGTGGGGAATCCGGCTGCCAACGGGCTGTACGACCTGGCTCTGGGACCCCCGGACTCCAAGGAAGTGTGTGCAACCTGCATGCAGAACTTCAGCAACTGCCCCGGTCATTTTGGCCACATAGAGCTGCCTCTGACTGTCTACAACCCCCTGTTCTTCGATGTGCGTACGATTAATTGTCTTCTCGCTGCTCTGTTGAGTTGTGGTCCTTGAGAATAGTAAAGATGGGAATATCTGTTTTCTCTCCCAAGAGTAATAACAGCAAATGTAGTAGGAAAGGTTTGTTGTGTCACAGCAGTTAAATACAAGTAGACCTGTTGGAAAATACAGACTTTGGTGTAACTTATTTTACTCAGTATTGTCAGAGGTGAGGAGGATTGCCGGTCACTGACTGACTGCGGGGTCTCATGCCTTAATTAAATGGATGGCACAGTAAAAATTACCATTTCCTTCAAACATTTACTACACATGAACTGCTTTTAGCCTAGGTTCTCCAAGTGCTTCCTGGGCATTCAGGGGTTGTTTCTGCTCCAAATAGCTCTGCTGTACGTTGTGCTCAGTAAGTTCTCTTTAATTCAGATAATTTATTATAGAAAACTGGATCAGTGTGGATAGAACCCAATAACCTATCCAGTAACATGCTGAGTGACCCAACTGTGCAAAGTAAAGGAAAGAAAACAGCATTGTAAGTTTGGTGGCAGCAGAGAGTTGAAAAATACTGAGCTGTGTAGAAATCTGTCTTTTTAAGGTAAAATAAAGGCTTTCAAGATTTCTTGCATCTGACATTTAGATATGCTTGTCATAGCTTTACAGGTGTTGCATTTACATGGTGTGTGGGGTGCCTGTGATAGAGCAGAGGTTTATCTTGTGAGCATCTCTGGGGACAGGTGTTAGAAGCTTGTTTTGAAAGCTACAGGGGATGGTCAAACTGCACCTTCTCACGTCAAACTGCACCTTCTCACGCATGCTTCATGTGCGTGTTTTTCCAAAAGGTCATCTCCTAAATATAAAAGGAATCCTGGGCTGGAAGGGTGGGATTTGCCTTATTTTGGTCTTCTGAAAGTTAGATGCATAATCTGATTGTGCTTTTTAGCTCTTTCTGGAGTCTGAGGAGTGGGGCTATTTGCGAAGGGAGATTCACCCAGTGTGTAACAAACCTGAGCTGGGATGAATTTCCCTCCTGAGGTCCTGATCTCACTATTTACATTAGCTGCCTTCTGCACAGGCTGTTCACTGAGAGTGAAAAAACACACTTTAAAGTTGGATAAGGTACATCCCACTTCTTGTTCCAGCTTGTCAGTAAAATACCTGTATTTGACCAAGGATTAAAATCCTGCAGCAGTAATTCCAAGCCTTCAGGCCACCGGGGCTCTGTGCAGAGCTATGTTAAATAATAAAAACCATTGATAATTCCCCAGATCTTGAGCAGAGTGTGATTCTGTGAAGAATCTTGAAGGACAGTGATGGTACTTGTGACCAGAATGTTTCATTTGACTGGTGTGGGGTTTTGGGATGAGCTATGAGGAGCTGTAGTCACTGCAACCTTGGTCGCAGGGCTGCTGTAGAAATTAAGGTGTTTCATGTATCTGTTATGTAGATGGCCTGCAAGTAGTTTATCTACAGATCGTGCTTTGCTTATCGGTTCGTGTGGTTGAAAGATTTTTTTTCCCAGTCCGATTCTTTATGATTAACAGTTAGTCCAATTTCTCAATTATAGTAGCACCGTCTTTAAGTCCAAACAAACCTATCTACTTGCTTACTGTGCTAGCTAATAAATCCACCAGGATAACCTTTTCTTCCCTTTTTCTTTCCAGAAATTGTACCTTCTGATCCGAGGTTCTTGTTTGAACTGCCACATGCTGACGTGTACCCGAGCCGTGGTTCACCTGCTGCTGAGCCAGCTGAAGGTGCTGGAGAAGGGGCTGCTTCACGCTGTCTATGATCTCGAAGTCATTCTGAACAGGGCAAGTACCGTGTGTTGCTCCATCCCCTCTGGAAGTTCACGGTCCCACAGCTATGAAGCTGTGCCAATTTTTGTTTTTCTGTTCCTTTTAGTTTTTAGAGCAATGCGCAGACGCGACGGGTTCAGAAATCGAAGAGGAGCTGAATCGCCACGTTCAGGAAATGCTGCAGAGCTCTCAAACAAGAGATCAGTGTTCAAATGTAAGTACAGTCAGCGCTTCTTCTGAGACGTTGGGGTTTGTGCTTGGGGTTTGTCCTGACATGCTTGGGGTTTAAAGCAGAAATGTGCAGAAGAGAGCCTGTGTTTGACTGTTTAGGTGCTGGGTTTTGTCCCGGAGTTCTGGCCTGTGTTACGTTTAGGTAACACAGGTTTGAGTGTTATCTAGGTGAGTGAAATGTCTGAAATTAAACTTAAAAAAATTTTATTTCCTGTTAGCATAACTGTTAGGTTTCTGGAAAACAGTATTTTTGCAGGCAAATATGTTGATGGTGTAAATACCACATAAAAGCCTGATACTGCTGTCAGTGCTTTACTTACAGATGTTGATATTTCTCTGTATGATGCTCCAGCTGTTTTGAGCTCCAGAACATATTTTGAGAACTCCTGCATCCAGCAAATGTGCAGAATTATTTAAAGTGAAGTTTTTAGAAAGACTTTAGAATTTAGAATTCTAATTTCGGTTTAAAAGTAGTTTAATGTAAATTGTTAGTAAAGGCAAATATGAGTGAAGAAAATATTTAAAGGTTTAAGATCTTTGAGCAGATTTGTTTATAAACCAAGTTTATTTCCTAATCACTTGTTCCAAATCTAAGCTTAAGCACTTGGTAAATCACACATTCATGAGCAGTCAAAAGAAGTAATTTTCATCATTCTTCTACGTTCCCAAGTCATCATTAGAGAAAAACTTTGAATTACAGACTATGAAATAAATTTAAAAAGGAGGGTGGTGAGCACTGAGGAGTGTGTATTTCCAGCAAATATGGGAAATGATGAACACAAGGCATGAATTAAATCAATACAAGGGGGTGTGTGCATTGATACTGATAA